AGAAAATCTGATAAACTTAAAATTGAAAAGAGCAATTGCAAAACGAGTACCTACCAAAGCAAAAAAGATTCTTGGCAGAAATAGGTTGAAACGTTTAACATCAACACACCAATGAGTCAAGTTTGGAAAAAAGGTAAGAAAATATCTGGCATTACTACCTATTTTCAGATTAATGCACTGGAATTAGAAGGGAAAACTTTCAAAGACAAAATTGATATCGCTGGAAAACTAGCTGAACATTTTAGAGATATGTCTTCCAATACTAATTACGATCCGATTTTTTCAGCCTACAAAGAAATAGAAGCAAACGAATGTATCCCGATAGTTCTCAACGAAAATCCTATAAACGCTCCCATATCCATGGCAGAACTCTTAGAGTCTCTCGGATCACTGAAGGACACATCTTCAGGGCCTGACGATATCCCCTCTAGTTTCCTCAAACACCTACCGGAAGAAGCTCTGGATTTTATTCTCATCTTCTTCAATAAAATCTGAACACAACACAAATTCCCTGAACTCTGGAAATTGTAAAACATAGTTCCCATATTGAAAGTAAAAGAATTTTCTGATAAAGTGGATTCTTATCGACCCTGTCACCTATGTAGATTGCTTGAGAAAATCATTAATAAACGACTTATCTGGACTCTTGAGGAAAACAAACAGCTCATAAGTGAACAAACTGGCTTCCGTCCACTGAAATCCACAACAGACAACCTGGTTGATCTGGAAAGTAATATCAATGAAGCATTCAAAAATAATCAGAAATGTATCGCTGTATACTTTGACCTATGTAAGGCATTCAACATAACATGGCATCATAAAATTATCAGAACTTCAGTATCCTGGGGATATCAGGGCAATATTTTAGCTTTTATTAAGCTTTTATTAAGAATTTTCTTTCTCAGAGGTATTTTCGAGTCAAAGTGGATGGTGTATTATCATCACCAAGATACGTAGAGAATGGCATACCACAGGGCTCTGTAATCAGCCCCACTTTATTCCTTGATGCCATTAATGATGTGTTACAAAATCTGCAGAAACCAGTCCAGGCGAGATGATTTAATAATATTTGTGAAGGAAAAATATATCCAAAATATGGTCAATATTCTGCAAGGGGAATTAAATATGTTAGAAGACTGGTAAAGAAATGGCGGTTTTCAATTTTCTTCCAATAAAACTAAATGTATTATCTTCACAAAAAGACCACCACCAACCTTAACTTACAAGAATGAAACACTAGGATACACAAATGAAATAAAATATTTGGGATTGATATTTGACCAGTCACTGTCATGGAAAACCTATATTAAATATCTTGTCATAGTGTGTCAAAAAAGGCTAAACCTGTTGAAATGCTTAACGAATAAACAGTGGGGCGCAGTTGGTAGGACATTACTGACTTTATATAGAACTTTAATAAGGTCAAAATTAGACTATGGCTGCATATGCTACTCGTCTGCTTCCGCGAGCACCCTCAAAGCTCTGGACACAATACAGAACAACGCACTCAGAATCATCTCTGGAGCATTTATTACAAGTCCGGTTGACAGCCTACTCTGTGAACTTGGAAAGTTACCTCCAAGTTCTGCCCTTAACTAAATTTCTAGACTAGGATAGTCGCAAAGTGCGTGACCTAAGCAAACTCACGCTTTTTTTGCTTTTCAATTATTGTTGTGAATTGTGGCACTTAACGACATCTAGTGGCGAGTAGTGGTACTATGTACTATTTTTTTCAGCTACCCGCGGTGGCAGTAGGTGTATTTGAATATTTGGAATTACCGCGTTGGTTCGAGAAAGTTCTGGTTCTAGCTAGTGTATTCCGATCACCTCGAGATGGCAGTAATAATTGCATATGAAAAGGCTAGCAAGGCGGTAGAAGAGATCAACATTGGTTCCAAAAAAACTGGCCTGTGGCGGAGTATTTAAAACCAGGCGAAAAGAACATTCTCCGCAAAAACCTTGTAGATCCTAGAAACATCCTTTTACCACCTTTTCATATAAAGTTAGGCCTCATGAAACATTTCGTAAAGGCATTCCCTAATGATGGACCTTGTTTCAAGTATCTCTGTCAGAAATTCCCATACCTTTCAGAGGCTAAACTTAAAGAAGGCGTCTTTGTAGGACCCGACATTCGAACAATGATGTTCGACGTAAACTTTGAAACCACAATGACCATACATGAGAAAGAAGTATGGGTATCATTCAAGCAAGTTGTTACGAAACTCTTAGGAAATGAGCCTGAAACTCCACTTCTTGAACAGTCATCTTGAACAGTCAGGGACAGTTTATGACAGTGTGTATATGCAACTTTTCAATACTGAAGATAATATTGAGTCCTTGGATACCTGCTTATACATCAATCAGACCGATTGAAATTTCATCAACATTCACTGAATTTTCATCTGTTAATGAGCGTATAACATGACTATCTGCTGAATAGACTGATTAAAATCATATGGCAGAGAGATTGGCAGTATCCCGAATGAACCAAATGAACTGACTTTCTGATCTGAATGTGTTAAATTCGGGTAGCAATTCGATTTCCTGTTATTCGAATATTCCCGAAGACCATATAACTAATGTCATATGGTAGGTATAATTTTCAGTAAATTTCAGTATACCCCGAAAAAAGATGGCTACATCATACTTTGAATAATCTGATAAATGAGACGGGAGTCAATTATTGAAAACGTGCACTTATGTCTAGTACATGCAACTACATCAATCTAAAGATCAGGGTGCGTGTGCGTCGGTGTCCATTTACATGTGTTCACGGGTTTACTTAATTGAAATCGAGACAACAGTGTGTATGAGTAGAAGAGAATAAAAAAAGGAATATATCTTACAGGAAAATAGATTGATTTATTTTCAATAGAGAAACATTCGTAACACAGGGGCAGATCAGCAAAAAATCATGATACTTCTGAAAAAAACTATATTTATTCTTTGAAACCAATTTTATGTGGAATACCCAATATTTCGAATTGTTTTTTGGATATATACCTCTTCATAGTCTGAAAAATGAACTGAGCTGAATCAATAGTTGATCTGCTGTGCTGTCATCTCAAAAAATAGCTATTCACAACTGAGTCGGAAGTTTCCAATTGAAGTTTGGGTTTTGAAAACAGAAATAGACTGTTTTTCAAAATGTTGTTCACTAAAGACAGCTGAATATGAAAATTTCAATATTTTTCAATTTTGAGGCAACATTTATGAAGTCTTTCAACTTTCATAAAGTACAATATTTCCAGTTTAATTGCTGAGCAAGAACTGCATAGAATGTACAAACTCGACACTTCCAGATTATTCATTTCAGCCAAAAACCTACAGTTTGTAAAAAACTTGATAAAAGATTAGTTACCGTTTTTGCAGGCTTTGTTCAACCCATAGAAATCTATAGGGCCACCACGACCAACCTGTCGCATTTGTTCTTTCTATACACACACAACTTTCCTATGTTCTCGAAAACGAATGTCGGTATATACGCGGATGACACCGCGATATACGCGCATTCGTTTGCAAGCGAGGTGGCGAAGCAACGACAGCTTCAGGTCCACCTCGACAGGTTGGTCGTGCCGTACTGTGAGCGCAATAAAATCGATGCTAACCCTAACAAAACGGAACTCGTCAACTTCTCGAAAAAATTTACTACCGTGAAAATTTTCGGGAAGTTGACGAGCAGAGGAGCGCCGATATGTGGGAGTTGTCCTGGATAGACGCCTGAATTTTCAGGAACATCTGAGCTTGGTGATCCAACGAGCTAATGCCGAGGTAAAATGAGCGTACCCGCTCATTGCAAGGAACTCTTCGCTTCGTGTTGACAACAAGCTGCGAATTCACAAACAAATAATCAGACCAGCTATGTTGTACACCTGTCCCATATTCTGTAGCCTCAAGAAGACTCATTTGCGGAGACTCGAGACGATACAGAATACGGTACTCCATATTTGAACAAACAGTGACAGATACATTTCATTGAATGATCTTTTAGATCTGGCAGAAGTTGAGATGGTCACTGAACACATCGGGGGGCTGTTTTATAAATTCTTCAAGTTCTTTCTACCGTAAAGCCCGCTGAGAAAGGAGGTCACGGCGCTCAGGAGTTACAATCAACCTCGAAAACACGGGCTGATTTATGAAATGCTTGATATATTCCATGAACGGCGCGAATGTGATCGCGCTTAGTTCATGAAAAAGCTGGCTAAAATCATTCAAGTTTTCTCGTGATACCAGAATTATTCATACCTGGTTTCTTCATGAACTTTTTCCATAGGGCTAGTGATAAACTTGCAACACTCATCCACTATATTCAGATATGAGGTACCCAAACCGCAACATCACGAGAATTCTCGCGTAAGCCTCGGCAGGAAGCGGGAAGTTTCAGTATGCTGAAATGAGGCTCTGTTGGGCAGAGAGCCACATGTTTACACCAGCGGAGGCGCCTCCCATCGGCCTTTCGTGGATCTATGAAACGACGCTTTACCTTGCGGACATCCTGGGACTCAATATTGAAGTCCCATCCTGCTGATTCCCCTTTTCCTTTACCAATCCTTTTCCCCTCCTCGTACCAATCCCGTGTGTGGGAGAGATATGAATGTTGTGAATACTCTGTACAGTACTCTTTGTTAAAGAGTAATGTATAATAAAGTATTTTTGATCCGATTTGATTTGGTTATTAATGATTTTACTGACCTACTGCGGTAGTTACGATAAAATGATTTGTAATTTTTACTTACAGTATGATGTTTGATACCTAGATGAAGGTCTACTCCTGAAAAAAATGTGGTAATTTTCCAACTTATGAACATTGTTTATGATTTTGTTAGCGGGATTTATTGAAATAAGAGTGACTTCATCTGCCCCTGTGTGTGAACATCTCTGTGCTTTCTCAAAATAAACTGTTGAGGATGTAATACATATTATGACAGTTGTGTATGTCTACTCACCGATGGCACACGCACACACGATGACCAAGGTGATGACCCTGCGCTCATACTCACATGAGAGGAGTCCGATATTGAAGTATCTTGAGTCCGGTAGATACCTATTGGAATTTCACAAGTTGTTGAACATAGCTTCTGGTATAATCTGCCGTATGTTCGAATCCACATGTCGTCTTTTGTGATTTTCATCTGAAAATAATGGAATGTTTCATGTAAAAATCGCTTGGAAATTCCGAATCTCAAGCTGATCGAATCAAGTTATATTAACATGCGAAAATATGATTATAAGAAAATCGGAAAATCAACCTAATCTCAGAAAACAACAATGTTGTTTCAGAGATGAATGAACATACACATGAATTCAGTGAAGGGAAATGAAAAACTTTTTTTGCTGAGTTAAAGGAGTTCTGACTTTTATTGCCCCAAAATGTGCTGACAAATTTGAAAATGAGAAAAAATAAATGAATGGAGTGTTTGATATACTAAGATTGAAATGAGAGTGGAAAAATGAAGACACTGAATATTATTACGACAAATCATATTGAGTTAGAGTTTCAGACTTTCGATTGATGTTGTTGAATAATATGTTCACAATGATCTAAATATATCATCAATGTAGCTTCAGTCACACAAAACAACCCCAAATTTTGTATATTTCCACTGAGAAAATCAATGATATCAACCTTCCAACTACCCAATTATTTATTATTATTATTGAAATTCAAATTGAAATATACGTACACAAAAGATAAAGCCAAAATTGCACCCTCATCAGGTATTTTATACAAAATTATATATGTTCCAATAGTTTGTTTGAAGAATAAACATTTTTCAGATTGGAAGCCAAAAACTTTCTTTACCAAAAATCAATCACTCCTAAAAATATAACCATTCCAATATGAATAATTTTCCACTTATTTATTCTAGATTTGATTACATGATCCCCATTCAAGGCTCCCCACCCGAAATAGTTCGAAATTTTTAAAAAGATTGCAAAACTTGGTGGTGATTTGTATTCATTGGCGTGAAGTTTTCCACAGATTTCTGGCCACACATGCTGACGTAGGGGAAAATAAAAATCTGTGGTTGGGATATGAAATTATAAGCACCCGTACTGATATCTGTGGCTGGAAATACCTATTAAGTATAGGTTGAACGTGAAATTATTCAGACTATTTGGTGTATAACTTTTTATAAAATCTTGAGTAGATTGACGCGTTAATAACCGTTTTCCCATCAACAATACAGATTTAGGAAAGAATAATATTGGAAATATCAGACTTCCTTTCCAATACTCAATGTAGAAATGACACCCGATGATGTGCGTTCATGAGAATCACAAAACTTCCATAGTTTCTTGAGTAAATTAACTTGGCGATAACAGTTTTCTTGTCATCTGAACAGATTTCAAAAAAGAAAATTATTGAAACAATCAGATTCATTTATTGAGATTCCTTGTACAACTGAAACCAGATGATGTGAGTTCATATAAATCACACAACTCTTATAGAATATCAGATAGATCAACAGAGTGAAAACCGTTTACTTGTCACCCATACAAATTTCCATAAAAAATTGTGGCAACAATCAGACTAACTTTTTGAAACCCCTTGTAGAGTTGGAACCAGATGAAAACAGTTTTCACTATGTTGATCTACCCAAAATTCCGTAAGAGTTGTATGATTTTCATGAACGTACATCTCCTGGTTCCAATTCTACAGGGTGTTTTAAAAAGTGAGTCTGATTGTTACAATATTTTTTCCTGGAAATCTGTATGGGTGACAAAATAACTATTATCACTACGTCAATCTACCCGAGATTCCATAAGACTTTTTGGATTTTCATGCACGCATATCATCTGGTTCCAGTTCTACAAGGGGTTTAAAAAAGTTAGTCTGATTGTTGCAACAATTTTTTATGGAAATCTGTATAGGTGACAAGAAAACAGTTTTCACTATTTTGATCTACCCAAGTTTCTGTAAGAGTTGTGTGATTTTCATGAACGCACATCTCCCGGTTCCAATTCTACAGGGTGTTTTAAAAAGGGAGTCTGATTGTTACAATATTGTTTCCTGGAAATCTGTATGGGTGACAAGAAAATTAGTATCGTTATGTTAATCTACCCGAGTTACCATAAGACTTTGTCGATTTTCATGCACGCACATCATCTGGTTCCAATTCTACACGGGGTTTAAAAATGTTAGTCCGATTGTTGCAACAACGGTTTTCACTTTGTTAATCTACCCGAAATTCAATAAGAGTTGTGTGATTTTCATGAACGCACATAATCTGTTTCCAATTCTACAAGGTGTTTTAAAAAGTGAGTCTGATTGTTTCAACATTTTTTCCTGAAAATCTGTAAGGGTGACAAGATAACTATTATCATTACATTAATCTACCAGAGATTCCATGAGACTTGTTCGATTTTTATGCACGCACGTCATCTGGTTCCATTTCTACAATGGGTTTGAAAAGTTAGTTTGATCATTCCAACAATTTCATTCTCGAAATCTGTATGGGTGACGAGAAAACGGTTTTCAATATGTTGATCTACCCAATAAACTATGGAAGTTGTATGATTTTGATGAACGCACATCATCGGGTATCATTTTTACATGGGGTATTGGAAAGTGAGTCTGATATTTCCAATATTATCCTTCCCTAAATCTGTATTGTTAATGAGAAAACGGTTATCAACGCGTCAATCTACTCAAGACTCTATAAAGAAGTTATACACCAAATAGTCCTAATAATTCCTCATTCAACCTATAGTGATAGGTATTTCCAGCCTCAGATATTAGTGCGAGTGCTAATAATTTCGTATCCCAACCACAGATTTTTATTTTCCTCTACGTCAGCATGTGTGGCCAGAAATCTGTGGATAACTTCACGCCAATTTTGTATTCATTAATCATCCAAATGGACAAATTCAACCGAGCATTATCAAATCAATGTAATGTTATTCATGAACGCTCACCACGAAGGAAAAATATAAAATCCTTAGAGAAATTTGAAAACAAATCGAGAATATTAATTGGAGAAATGAACTTTCACTGTCAAAGATTTTTTGTAACTAATCATTTTTACCTATATGAAAAACGTTTTATTTTGTTGCTGAGTATTGTACTGTCATCAGGAACAATACAATGGTCGAAGAAAATTCATAGGGACTCTCGCCCCTATCGAGTTATACAGGGAAAACCAAAAATTCTGCTTTTCGTTTTTTTTGAATGGAATTGTTATTTCGTAAAATGTCAAAGAATGGGAAAAATATGTTATTTTTTTCAAAATGTACCATGACGATGTAATAATAAATATTCGATAAAAGGTTTCGTATCAACATGGCCACCAACAACTTTTTTTTAATACGGACCGGTCTTTTTTATTACAGATATTGATAAAGCGATAAATTCACAATCCAAAGGTATACCACATTTGATATTTTAATAAATAACCACCATCTTCGTTGACAACAATCAAACAGAAAAACGATTTATTTCATCATAAACTTTTGGGAAAAATGAAACCAATACGGAAAATCAAAGCTACATGGCAATCTACATCAAATTTTCGAATTCACGACCTCTTTGTTTAATGTACATAAGTTGTCGGTCCAGACAATTTTTGTGGCAATTTTCTAGCATAATAGGTGTAATATTATATCATGCATCTCTTATTTTTTGTTTGAGATGGTCGATACCTGTACTTGGTGTCGAGAAAACTTTATCCTTTATGTATTCGAAAACAAAAAAATCCAAAGGAGCAAGATCTGGGGATTGAACTGGCCAGTTAATTGGTCTATTGTTTTCAATCCATTCTTGGGAATATTGCATCTAAAAGTCCCCTAAGTTTTGCTGCATTATGCGCCGTCCTGTTGAAAAAATTGTATTTCATGGCAGATATTCAGTGGCAATTCATCTGAGTAGCCATCGAATTCATTGAATAGAAAATGAAGATACATTTCACTATTAAAATGATTATCATGAAAGAAAGGGACAAGGATGTTCGTTCCCACAATTCCCAACCAAACATTTATTCCGAACCTATCTTGGAAATTGGTTTCCCTTTGTGAATATCCACTTGTATTATTCCACCTATAATGAAGGAATGATACAAATGAATATTTTGGCCATTTTTGGTCAATTTTGATTCGTCCGTCCATAATATTTTTTAAAAAATATCTCCAACTTTTATACGTCTTAACAACTTAGCAAATCGTACTCTCTTCCGTAATCCCTTTCATCGAAGTGTTGAACTTTGGGTATCTTATAGCATTTATATTCATTCTTCATATTCTTCATATATTCATTCTCCATTCTTCGACATTATTTCATAAAGTTATTGTCAATAGAACACCTCCCTACCTCTATAACAAAATAACTTCATAATGTGAACATCAGGCGTAAAATGATCCATGTTGTTAGACACTCCATAGAACTATTCAAAAGGTCATTTACATATACGATAGCTGAATTCTATAACAACCTACCACCTTCCTTTCGGTCGAAATCTGTGTCCAGTTTCAGGTACTGCCTGAAAAAACACCTTCTGAAAAATCAATAATACCCGAATATATTCTATGACACATTGGGTCTTGTAGACCATAGCTAAAATATTTGTGGTATCCTTATGTTTGTATCGATATCCGCCTCATGAATTAAATGTTGTACCCGCTATCACAATTCCAATTTTATTTTAGATCCTTTGTTATTTTTTTTTTCTGCTTTTCATCTTTTTCATTTTTTTTGTAAGGTGCAAAAGGAAGAATGAACTCTGTTCAATCTTGTATCCTATTGACAAATTTGTATTTTGTTTTTCTCCATATTGTATCATGTTATTTCAGCTGTCAATAAATTCATTTATTATTATTATTATTATTATCATTATATTTATTCTGTTTCAAAATAGTTTTGGAGTATTTTACAGAAATGCCCATTTCGTGGGCAATTTCTCGTGAAGAACAATATTATTCTTGTGTGGTAATATTTGCTTACTCATAACATTTATTTGATTCCTCACACTTCCAGTAACTACACATTTTCTTGTTTTCTTTCTGTCAAATGCACCATAGTCCTTCAAATTTTTTTCTATTCGTCTATACATGTGGATGTTCGGAATACGATGATTCAGGTATAGCTCAGCATACATATTCGTTGTCAAAAGAGGATTTCTATTTGATTTTGAATAACTAAATATTATATCAGTTCTTTCATCATTTGAATACATCTTTAATATGTTCATGAACGTCTGACAGTTCTCAACAGATATCAACAAGTAAAGCCTACGCGTTTGAGATGGTAAATGAATCGAGATGCTATTTGATCATATCAAATCATCCAACAATCGAATTTTTATCAAAAACTAATATTTTCGTTACTTCCAGGATTGAGAATTATAAAAATATTACGAATTATAATTGAAAAAAGGATTACGGCAATAGAAAAATTCCCAAAACGAAAAAAAACGAATTTTCATTGTGTTAGGGTACCTACCTGTCAAATTTGTTGACTTGTCTGAATTATATTTAAACAATTTACGGAAGAAGTAACGTCAGGACCGTAGTTTAAAAATTGTTGTTACTGATGATGGTAGTTATTTCAAATGAAACGCTATAAAAATATCGAATGTGATATACTCTTGGATTGATAATTTATTGCTTTATTAATATCTGTAGGTGATAAAAAAGACAGGTCCGTATTTAGAAAAAAATTGATGGTGGACATGTTAACACGAATCGCTTTATTGAATATTTATTGTCATATATTGTCATACATTGTCCATAATATACTTGAAATACAAATAAATTTTCTCTTTCCATTGTTTGATATTCTCCGAAATAACAATTCCATTCGAAAAAACTAAAAACATAACTTTTAGTTTTCCCCTTATAACTCGACAGTTCCCGTAAATTTTCTTCAACCATTGTATTGTTCCCGATGACAGTTATCTTTTTTCACTTGATAAAGCTAATATCTTAGCGAAACATGTTGTGATATATTTTTCAAATAAAGTTTGTGGAGATCAAATCGTTGAGGTGTAGTTTTTGAAATGACTATGGATCTTCATCAAGTAACGGCCGAATCAATCAGAAAAACATACATGTACATTCGCAGAAACTGCATATTCCGCCCTGAATCAAGATCCGTTTTTGAATAATAATGAAGGACAATGAACAATTCCATTAATAATTCAAAAACATATCTTCAAGTCTTCAGTATCCCTTCTTTCATGGAGTGTGTCAAGATATATGAGGGAGTGTAGTTGAGGATAGTTATATATGTAGTTCTCAGGAGAAATTCTGGATTTGAAGGCGACCAATCACAGAAATTTTCTCCGAACTTGTAATAATATATGGAAGTGACTTGCATATGATGGGTTCCATACAGAAGATATGTATTCAAGATGAGATCTCACAGAGAAACGCACATAATTTTAAGGTATCATATTTGTTTCTTGGTATGAATGAAGGAGTAATTCAAGTTAAGTAGCTTGTTTTGAACTTGTATCCTTTTTATCCAATTCTTCATTTTCCCACTTTCTTCATATCATTTCATTTTTTACAATTGCTTGTATATTATTGACATTCCAATTCTATTGTTCAACCCATTCACTGATTAATTTGCATTATGACTCCGAATGATTTGATTCTATTACAAATCGCCATTCTCATATTATTTCGATTTCAAACATATTGCTGATTTTTTATAATTTTCTGACAATATTCTCATTTCTGAGCTGAAATTATAATATCTGATATCGATAATACTTTTCATGTTCCTTGAATTTTTCCTATTATTGTCATAGATTTCAGATATGTTAAACACTATTTCACACAATTGGAGTCCATTATCTTTAATATCCACCAAGAAATATCGCCAACTATAATCAAAGAAATTATTTTGCTTTGAAAATGAAAATGAATCAATATTGTGTTTCAGGAAATCATCATTACGTATCAATATTTGAGTAAAATGTCCATCCTATACAAAAATAGTAAAAACAGAGGAATGGTAATAAAATGAAAGCAGCAGATTCCAAACCGAGTCATGATACATGTTTACATGTTTTCAAAATCAATCGGTCTTGAAATGATCATCATATCAATTAAATTTTTGGAAACATTCAGCTTGTAACTCTTTATTTCAGAATATTTTTTGATGTTCACAGAAACTTTTCACAAATCGCTCATTATGAATAACTGAAATGAATACAAGCAACTCACTGATGTCAGAAATCCTGAACCTGGTGCTTGATCTATTCCTAGGAGTAACCGAACAAAAGTGATAACATAGTCCTTCACGAAGGCCTGGTATAAGAGAGTGTCAAGCATACTGGCACTGAAAACGCTACCCGCAGCAAAAGGCAACCGGAACATATAAGAAATGTGGGATCCCCTTTCTTTTTCTTTCTGCAAAAAAATGAAAATTCATTCACAGAGAGAATATTGATGTTTTCAGAGCTCTTTGTTCACTTATCATATAATAAACTGATAAATAATACAGGGTGTAACTGAGTAAGTAAGGAGGTGATTTATTTGGTTTACCCCATGGTTGTAAGGGGTGGAAAACGCAACCCTTAAAATTTATTTGCAATGTAACTCTTTTGTCTTTATTAATTGTTTACCATTTAAAAATTCATTTCCGATAGCCTGTTTCATTCTGAACAAAAAATGTCTCCTGTGTTATTTGCCCAAAATGAAGCAGTTCGCAGCAAAACATTATTTTACGAACAACTACAGAAATACATCGCCATAAATGCGAACTGGATTCATTGTTATTTTTTAGTACCTGCATTAAACGATTAAAGGGTAGTGAAAAAAAGTAATTTATTGATAAAAAAACGAACAACATGTAGAAATCATAGCAAATGTTCAGACATTACGCATGCGTCTAGACGTCGGCGCACTGAGCCACGTATTCGCTCAAATATTCCTGGAGTATATCTGATTACCTTGCACGCATCGATGATGCGGTTTCATAAGTCCTCTACATCGCGAACAGGAGTACGATAAACCAAATGCTGTAAATGGTCCCAAATAGAGAAATCGAGAGGATTGAGATCCGGGGATCAAGCTTGCCAGTTCTGTGGTTCTCCTCGACCTATCCACTGATTTGCATATGTTTCAGTTAAATGCTGATGTGCTACTTGACTAAAATGGGCGGGAGCCCCATCATGCATAAAAAACATATCCCTTCTGACGCCCAAAGGAACTTCCTCCAGCAGTACTGGATGCACTTCTCTCAAAGATTGAACGTATGCCTCACCATTTATTCAAAAAGGTAGAAAATGAGGCTCAATTAAATCATCCCCAATAACTCCGAGCCACACGTTGAGAGAAAACTGTTCTTGATGGTTAGTTTCGACAATAGCATGAGGGTTTTCATCAGCCCATATGTGGTAATTATGAAAATTAATAATCTTGTCCCGGGAGAAACTACATTCGTCTGTGAATTCTATCGTCTTCAGAAAGTCACAATTTCTTTTAATCATTTCCAGCATCCATTTGTAGAATTCAAGACGATTCGGAAAGTCTCGCGGTAACAGTGCCTGTACTCGTTGCAGATGGTAAGGGTATAAGAGTTGTTCCTTCAAAATTCGAAATACCGTCATATGATCAAAATTTAGCTGGAAAGCAATCTTTCTAGTAGGTTGTTCTTCATTCAAATTAAGTACTGCTTCCTCAAGCTGTGGTGTTCGTACTTCTCGATGGCGACCACAATCCTGCGTTCTTTTGTCGAATGAACCATATTCTCGTAATCGTTGATGGAGTCGAGCAAATATTCTTTGTGAAGGATGCTGCCGTTGAGGATGAATTTCAGCATATCTTCTGGAAGCTTCTAACCCCTTCCCCTGCGACAGACCGTAAACGTAATGCATATCAGCCATTTCCTCATTTGTATATGCTATTTTAATAACAAGTGAATTATTAAAGTAATAAATTAAGAACAGAACAACTACACACAATTAGTATCAATTCAATATCGAATATTCACAAATTGACAGAGTCATACCAATTCAATTGTCACTATCGCTAATATCGACCTACTAGATAGATTAGTTTCGTATTTTCGCATTTATGACGATGTATCTCTGTAGTTGTTCCTAAAATAATTTCTTGCTGCGAATTGGTTCATTTTGGGCAAACATTCCAAGAGGCATTTTTTGTTTAGAATGGAACAGGCTATCGGAAATACATTTTTGAATGGTTAACAAATGATAAGACAAAAAGTAATATTAGAAATAAATTTTAGGGGTTGCATTTTCCACCCCTCACAACCATGGGGTAAACCAAATAAATTTCTGGCTAAGTGTCTTTTTGGTAGTACAAAATGTCAGGTCAATTTCAATATTGTAACTTTTTTAGTGCTTGTGAAAAAAATTGTTTTACAAATTTTATGTACCCCTTTTAAGGGTCTGAATCTTAACAAGGGATGCTCCAATGAAATTTCTTTATATGAAATATCCTATCTTTTTTTTTTCGATGAAGAATCACCTCCTCATATGTTTTACACTTATTCAGTTACACCCTGTATAAAGAGTACATTATTATTGAATTCAAGTCAATAACAAATTGAATCAAATAAGTTGTTTCAATCGAAAACTCAAGAGGACGAACATGTTAAAATATTGAACAAAATCCATTACAATGATGAAACAAATTTCCACTTCTCACAGGCAGTGGCGGATCCAACTCAGTGCATGGGGTGTATAATTCCTTCATAAAGCACTGAGTCCTTGATGATTTTCTATTGATGTTCAGTAGTATGCATTCGGGAACGAACATATGAAAAAAAAATTAACAAAAACTGTTGCTCTGTTTGAAATATCTTACTAGAACTAAAATTAAGAAAAAAAATATGTATATTGTAATTAACCCTTACCATCATTACCATCGAGTGGAAAGCTGTTCATGTACAAACAAAATGAAATAAATAGTAGATTTTAATGACTTTTCATCAATCAAATTCATTAATGGTCGAAAATAATAATACTTTGAACATAATATTATTGATATGCAAAACGTTTTGTAATATTTTCAGAGATAATTTTCTCTTGTTCTTTTTATATATTTCATCTCCTTTTTGGTGAACCTTGCCGTCAGTTCATTCATAATGAAATCACTCAATAATTGGAATAAGCTTCTTACGGTTCTATTCAATTGTCTTTTTTTTTCTGCTGCATTTATGCTGGCTACTAAACCCATGAATCATAAGAAAGTTGTAATAAAGCGAAGTAAGTCAAATTATGAATTCAAATAATATTCATATAAAAACAGTTCAACTTTATTAATATATAAGGTTTTACTGATCTATATCGGCCTGACTTTTCTTTCCCAATAAGAAAATTCATTTCAAATTATATCCCAATAATAAAATTCATTTCAAATTATATCTAGTGTACTTTCAATTCTCTGAAAGGAGGCATATGCCCCTATGTCACACCATTAGATCCGCCACTGCTCATAGGGTATTTCAGTAGGATTATTCTAATGATCTATGATCCTGATTCTCCTTAAGGAAAAGTGTAAAGCAAATAATGATGAGCTTTGGTCATGACTTGTGTCATTCCAGAATGAACGTCTCATTTCACCAGTTGCTATCAGCAGAACATCCTCTTCAATAGAGTAGTCTGGACAGAGTATGTAGGGTTCAGATAATGAATATAAATATTCCATTAGGTTTCTTAGATTCTTGATTCTATCTACCTTTGATAATTCGCAAAAAATGAGGGTATAAAATTGGCTTCACCATTGGCTCAACAATTTTCAAAACGTAAAAATAAATATGGAAAATTTTATTTATCTCATCCTACATCCCTGTTCTCTGCATTGCTCTCTTCCCAGAAAGGCTGTTGAATATTACAGATGAAAAGTCATATCCATTTGTCTTGTTTCAAATTCCGTCACCAATGTTTAATCCCCCTTGTTATATACAAGAATGAAAAAGATTGATAAAACTGGAAATACCAATATTGGTAAATGAAAAAAGTGAATCAATAGAAAAATCTTTTCATTTTTTATTTCAAGCTCATCATTCAAAAAATTATAAAAACGATTTATATCGAAAACGGAAAGACATACAAGTTCTGTTGAATCGAACAAAAGTTTTCTATCTTAGAGAACTAGAATAATCTGTTCAGATCGAAAATATCAGTGGTTATTTTTGAAATATTTGCTGAAAACCAGAATTGTTGAATTTCGTTTTACGTCCTAACCGCCTTCATTTCGAATTTTCAATGCAACGTTTTTCTCATTAAATTTAATTATCAACTTTATTGTTTCGAATACCTACAGATTTGTGTTGTTTGAAGGTGGTTGACAATATTTTGTGGTGCAATTCGTTAGTCCGGACGAATATTATAAAAAATTAAATCACAATGAGATAAAATACAAGCAACAACCGAAAGAAAACAAAAAAAATTAACTATTAACACAGTTATCACCCGAATACGATTGTGGATACTAACAGAAGAAACGTTGTGAAGTAACTTGGTTTGGAATCTTTCAATTTTTAATTTTCAGTTCTTGTTAATAATTTTTTAATTTTCATTTCGTGTTAATAGTTCACTTTTTTGGTTTTTTTTGGTTGTTGATTGTATTTTATCTCATTGTAATTTCAGTTTTTTGCTTCATATAATTGTTATTTTTCAGCTGATCTTTTTCAATTTTTTACTGATTTTTTCAGGGATTCCAAATCATTTTATATCATACTAGACAATGGAAGTCTGGACTAATGAATTGCAGATTTTACTGTGATATTAATGTAATTTCACTCAAGTATATCTTATGAAAAGTTTTGAATATTACAATAAATAATGAAATTTGGAACAATCATGAAATAGGAATCAATTCAAAGAACTAAGATTATAAAAAAGGAAGGAAGAAAAAAAATTACATCAAAGGTGCTGCTTCGTTCCCTTCCATAAAAGAGGACATATGTCTCATTGCGCACAAGTGATTTTGGCGAAATTGGGAACACAGATTTGTATTATAATACATTGAGGAATTTATCATGACGTTGAATAAAACTAGAGATCCGTATTGAAAAATAGTAAGTCGATAAAATCTGATGAACAAAAGTTCCTCTGCCTTTTTCATCTCACTTGAAATTGAGGCAGGAGAGCCAAAAAACGACAATTCTAGTTTTTGGCGAATAATTCAAAAATAACCACGGATATTCCCGATCTGACAAGAGATCATTCTAGTTCTTCAAAATATGAAACTTTTGTCCAGCTCAACCAACTTTGTAGGTCTCACCGTTTCCAAAAAAAGAAATAATGGGATCAGCTAAAGAAATGCTTGCATGCATAATTTTCAAAATTCAGCTGCAAAGGAATATTGACTTTTCGCGCTCATTCATCTCATTCGATGAAGAGTATTCCAAATCGAGCTTCTCTCAGTCCAATTTCATACGAACTCTTCTTCACAACTACTTTCAACATTTTTTTCTGTTCGTACCCCTACTATCCTTTCATTTTGTCTTTCTCTCCATTCCAGTCTTTCACTTCATTCTTCTGTTGAGATAATTTTCAAGATAAAATAAAAAAAGTCACTACCTTTTCCATATTGGAGAGATGCAAAGCATATTTATCATGCGCCCTGAACTGCATAAACCTCATATTTGATGACTGCGACAGCTCTGTTATGCTTTTGATGCTGGGAAAAAATCTGTAACAGAATTATGTTTTAATGAACATTCTAGTAAAAATATGTACTCTCGCTCTTCCTCCGTCTTCACCCGGTACAACTCTCAAGTTGAACCGGGTGAGTGAAATTCTAGTGAAGCATGATAATAGAGTTACAGTGAAGATTGACAGAGAGTTGACATGATTAAAAATTTGTGTTGACAATTCGACTTTTGAATTAGACTCTTTTATTTATCTTGAATATGTGGTTTTATTGAATATATTTTCGGATAATACTCGCAACTGGACTGTGGAAATGTGAGAAAAAAAGTTTCACAAAGTATTTTATTCTTGGGACACCTCAAACTTGAATTTTAGAATATGGTTCTATGTTTTTATTTGATATTTTTCAATACATTCATCGAAAACTGGATGCATTCGTGTATGAATTATTGATCATAACGTACATCATATTCCCATGATTTTTTTGTAACCTTCATTGTGATGCTCAACTTTCACTGTCATACCTAATAGTTATTGAAATGAACAGAAATCAATGAATACCTCTTTTGTGTTTTCTGGAATTTCACAGCGTTTGATTATATTCATCATCCTGATGGATTTTTTCAGTAAGTAGTCAACTTCATAACTGCAATTATCTCTTTGAATTATTATTCATTTCAGTGAATAAAAATGTTTTCTCCATGTTTAAAAAAAATTTAATACAAAAAATTTGGGGTTAAGTTAAATAATATTATTTGAGTTATAAAAATACCATACGAGTAGCAACCTGTTCGATAGAATATATAGAAAATCTAGGACAATGGCAGTTTGGAAAAGAGTGAATTCGAAAAGAAAATCTCTAATCAAATGAAGAATCAATATTGGGGCAGATACTACACAATTACAATTTTTCTTCTAATCGAAATCATTCGATTACTTTTTTGGTTAGAAGATAATCTTTCCAAATCGAGTTACAAACTTTCCCCAAACGAAAATAATGGAGTGATGATTATTCGGAGAAAAGGTTATTGAATAAACTGTGCTCCAAAATTGAAAACTTTCACGGCTGGTAATAACTGTTCAAAAACATTTTTCGGGTTTGATGACGGGTTCTACTCCATATATCATTAAGTTCAAAAGTATAAGCAGGAATGTATTGGAAATAATTGTTTATCTCTTCCTAATCACTCAGCCGTAGTTGTAGATGAAATCTCAGACATGAACAAATGTCTGAACAAATGTCAAATCTTTTTGGAAGATTTGACTTCGAATTTGAACTAACTGCGATTTGTGAGAAAAGTATTGAAACTAATTGTGGATCAATAATGTGTTTCAGAAATGCCATTTTAATAGCACATGAAAAATTAATGAAGGATAATAAATTGATAGTTTTGCTGGGAGGTCGTTGTGCTATGTACTTTCTACACTCTATATAGTAGAATACCGGTACGTTGAATGTAATTTTTCCTTCTCCATTTCTTTCAGGTATACGAAAAACACTGCAGCCTTATAATAGGCTTATTGCGTTTTCACCATCTTATTTCTGACATCAATTTCAACAAATTTGTTCTATAGCTTGTATATAGTTTGATAACGAGTACATTTTTCTGATCTCTAAACACCTATCTGTGCTACTTGCTTTTACCTAAGAGGTATATAAATGTAGTTTGAAGAATTTTTACTGTCGTCGAAACCGCCCGTCGAAAGACAACAATTTTATAGTCTAATTAACAAGTTCATAAACATGAAAAATAGAGATAAAGGTCCTTAAAATATGAGCGATAGCTCATTCGATTCGGAATCACCTCTAGAAAAATAGTTTCAAAGGATTTTGGTGCAGGTAAAAAATTGCAATTGTTATTAACAAAATAAGATTAAAAAAAAATGGTATTGAGTTTTTCGTTAATAACTCAAAAAACATCAATATTTACGCAATTTTGAAAAAATTTCGTTGAAGAGGAGGAAATTTCCGATAACTCCCGAAACTCTATCTCCATTATTTATAATTTTAATTTGACGTTGAAAATAGGGTTCCGCGCTGCTGTTACGGCATAAGCGCGCTGCCGCTAAAGAACTATCGCTCATATTTTTAGGACCTTTATCTCTATTTATCATGTTTTTGAACTTGTTGATCAGACTATTATTCTGTTGAGGAAAAAGTGTACTATAGTAACACTATATATAACAAATAAAAAAAATGAAAATTAGTTGAAGGAGTACTTTTGCAAAAAGCCTTCTATTGCCTGAAGGAATATTACAATGATGTATTTTAACTATTAGTATTTCAGATGTTTACATATCTGTAATGATTTATTTATTATCTGTAATGGTTTTTATATTGTTTATGTGTATTCGTATATGTTCATTGTATATCATAATTTTAGTTCTTCTTAAAAACTTGACCATTGTTGACTAGCTTCGTCACTAGCTTTGTCAATAAAAAATTGCATGAATGAAGCATGAAAAATGAATGAAAAAGATCCATTCCACACCGGAAGTTTCGAATTCCACTGATCATTTTGAATATGAAAAATTGGAAATGATCAGAGTTTCACAGATATCATTCATTCGTGAATTTTTAATTATAGAAACAATTAAAAAACATTACGAATTATAAAATTATGAAACTGATTAATTGGCGCTCTGGGCCGATTTGATTAATTCCAGTGGCGCATTTGCTTTTACAGCTGCAGAAAAACCTGGAAAAACCTGCAGATCTAGATCTGTCAATGTTCTTTCAAGGCATCTCTGAGAACATTTCACAATATTAAGTGTAACTATTTCACACATCCACTGTGGAATTTCAATGAAAAAGTTTGGGACTTTTTTGTATATATTTTACTATAGAGGATATATCGCGATGACCAACTTTCTCAATTCCAATGTTCCACATTTGGCATAGTTTCAATGTGAGTTTATGAGATACACCCCTCACCAAAAATAAACCGTTCTTGATAGTCATTTGTTAACTCGAAGAAACTAGATATTTGGCTCTCTGGTGATTCCCCATAAAAATTCAAAAGTTTGATAGAATACATAAATGATTTATTACTGAATAACCAAAATACTTCATTTATCGTCTTGTAGGAGTAACATTTCCAAAATGCTACAGTCCGCATGTGAGTAGAATTTCACTTTTTCATGTACAATATTGTGTAGGAATCCTGTGAATGATATCTGATTCAATTCCATAACGAACGTTCATACTATAAACTGAATAAAAAATACCTGAATATTCATGATATGAATGTTAAAAGTGCGGCAATTGTCTTTTTAAAAAGTATTTATTTTATAAAAGTATAATGAGAAACGACTTTCTCCAGCAGCAAGAGTCACAATCAGAATGAATAAAATATAAGTTCGATTAGTCTGCATCGCTCTGCAAGTCTAAATACGGATTTCTTGGAAAAGCGCCGTCAGCAGATCATATTTCTATGAGAACAGCAAATGCAAAGAATGTAACGAATATTCATTTTCACAATGAAAAAGGGTCCGAAATAAGTTCCTTCTAAAATTTCAGAATAACCAATAAAAACTGACATTGACTTGAAATTACAGTAACAAATATACATTTCCAAGGATATTTGGCGCTATTAATATTCATGTCCCGAAACGATAAAACAACATTCATGGAAAGGGGTCCGGTTTAAGGACACAGGGTATACTTCAATGGGTAGATACATCATCCTGTGCCTTTCAGTATTTTATTCTGACTCATTGAAAGTTGCAAGAACACAAGTTAGAAATAATACCAACAGGTTTTGTATAGTTATCAAAATGTAAAGAAAACAAAATTTCTGAATACATCTAGAGGTGAGAGAGTTTGAGCTCTCTGAGCACTTTGCAACAGCATATCAATAGTTGCCATCATACAGAATTTAATTTAGTCCATTCTGTAAATTCAACCGTCATGTGAAGACACAATTTTCATCATCCACCCGGTATATAGCAAGAAAAGTCTGAACGTTTTACATCAACATATATTTTCAAACAACACACACATAAAATACTAACTTGAACATTGTCTGCACAGCCACAATTGTGTTGCAATCGGATAAAGAATCTTCCTCGGCGGAGTTGGACAGCTCTTTATTAACCACAACCACATTTTCAGCAAGAGTAATTCCAGCCCTGAGCAGATCATCCAAGCTGAAAACGATGATCGTTCTGAGATAATGTTTACATTTCCATGCAAGGCATTCACTACATTTCAAAAGGGTTATTCAAGCGATAATATCGAGAAATTCAGTTTGCGACCACAATGGTAAATTTTAATTCAATATCGACTGTGACGAATTTCGATGCATAACAATAAACTAGATATTTGGCCAAATCGATTAGGTCGATCTGTAACTACTACATTCCTCACAAAAATTTGCTTGTCAACATAATGCCGTTCATTATAGCAGGGGAGCCCACGATGCAAAATGGGGATTTACTCGAGCGTCACAGAGACCTATTGGGTTGCAAAGCTTAGATGATAAGAACAACAAATATAGGTACCTTTTCATCGGTGGGGAAAGCTGCTATAGATTACTGAATATGTAAAAAAAACTGTTGCATGGAAATACTCGAGCGCGTCAGATATTGATACCATCAATGTCCTATGTATTTTTAATAATATTGGTATGTTAATCTGATCATTTGCATGATGTGGGTGGTTGTACGTAAGGTTTAACAATGGAAAAAAAATCGAGCGTGTCAGATTTTCTGAGGGGGTGTTAAGTGCGCCAAAAACAAAGCTCTCATTCAATAATCTGACGATTTCAATCTGACACAAACTCGCGGCTATTATTATAATGTGAATAAGAAATCGTCATTTTGAAATACTCAAGCGCATCAGATTAAGATATATATGATTCATCTTCATGTTTTAGACGTGCTGTCTCATAATCTGACGATTATCTATAGGGATTCGCCTAATCAAACGAAAAAATATTTTTTATTTTTTTTTTAATCATTGAACATAATTAATTTTAAAGCTCAGGAAACAGCATGCAAATAAATAAGTGTATGTTTTTTAAGTAGAAAACTTGTATTTATGAAAAAAAATTAAAAAATGCTCGAAAAAATTTAATTTTCATAAGCAATTCATTAATCGATGAAGAAAAGAGAAATGGAACTTTTTATGTTTTTTACCACTTTTATTTGTAACTAACGTCACTGCAGTTACTTATACGTTACATAACTTTGGAAATGGACGAAACTGCAGTAACGTTAGTTACAAATGAAAGTGGTAAAAAACATAGAAAGTTTCATTTGTCTTTTCTTCATTATGATTTCCTACCACGTAGTAACGGTTACATCCATCAATTATTCGATTAATTAATCTTCATATTCATCACGAACTAGTCTCTGTGATCAGATGTGATGGCATCATGGCAATAGAATTCAGAGTGGGAACGGAGTGAGTGGGGCTCATATTTGGTGGAGGTACTTAACCGGGTATAAGGTATCCTCCTGTATATTAATCTGCCGCGCTTCAGTAAATCCCGAAACCCCCGTTTTCTGTCAAATAATATTTCAATTTCAGAAATACATCAGAAAACCAAACCTACGAAACCTACCAAACCCACGTGAATACTGTATTGAAAAATGTTACAGTCGACTCATTGTGAAGAGATCACCATTCAAAACTGGCAAATATTCGGTTTCAAGCAGAGAAAAGAAAAATGCTGGAGTATCCGACCTCAACATGAAGATATCAGTACTCGTAAATGAAAGCTAGTGAATTTAATTGTTCATCAGTTGACAGTTACTCACCAAAGTTTCAGCCATTTTGGACGCGCTATTGTTATGTAACAGTCGTTTGAGTGAGTTGATGTGAGTGTTTTTATGAAAATAGACAAAATCGAGTAGCAAGCTGTCATCAAATATATGTTTTTCAAAGGCAATACGCCTACTCAAATCAAAGATGGGTTGGATTATGTGAATGGCAACTCTGTACCATCATTCACCACACTGAAATTTTTGGCAACTGAATTTAAACATGGCCGTGAGAGCCTGGGCGACGATCAGCTTTCGAGACGTCGAAAACTGCAACTACCGACAAGAACATTGCCAAAGTTCATCAAATGATGCTAGACTACCACCGAATTCAGGTGAGAGAGATAGCAGAGTTTATGAACATGTCAAAAGAACGTGTATTGCATATTTATTCAACATTTAGACGTTGGGTGCCGCGTTTGCTCACATTAGACCAAAAACGTGTTCGAATAAACATTTCCAACTCTGTGTTGGCGCAGTTTAGGTGGAATACATCCGAATTAGTTTTGACGCGGGAGAAGGAAATATTAAGAACAGGTAGTTGTTGGTTCACAGATGTATCAAAAACACCTTCCGATTTTGGTGCAGGTGTTTTCAGTCGCAGACCCAGGACAGAGTTATCTACATGCCTAGGAACTGTATTTCCGTTTGAAATACAGTCAAACGGAAATTTACGTTATTGAATCGTGTGCGGAGAGATTGGATAAATCCAACCTCACTCACAAGTCAATAAAAAAATTCTTGGACAGGCAAGCGGCATTGGAAGCTCTTGACTCCCACCGAGCAACGTCTAAATTGGTAGCAAACTGCCAAAAAAGACTCTCCTCGATAGAAATACTTGACAGATTGTCTCCGGTCTGGATTCCCGGCCATACTGGCCTGGAAGGCAATTAACCTGCTAACTCTCTCGCAAAGGAGGGTGCTGCAAGCGGCTTCATTGGACCAGAACCTATCATTGACATCGCTTTGGGCTTTGTCGAATAAACACTTAACATCTGGATAGCAAAGAAGAGTTATGAACTTCTGGCAGAATCTTCTAGGATTGGCTCACTCCAAGGCATTCATTCACCCTTCGAAGTTCGATTCCAAACAGTTGTTGGACTACAGTAGGGATCATCTACGACAGGCCTTCTTACAGGTCACTCTCATTTGAATCATCACATGCAGAGACTTGGACTGTCGGAAGACAGTGTGTGTCGCCTCTGTCTGGAAAATGATGAAACTGCAGAGCATATACTTTGTGCCTGCCCCGCTGGGGACCGAATCAGGTTTTTGAGTTCGGCAGATCCGTACTCTCACCATCTGACCTGAAAGACCATTAACCATACAAACTAATCGGCATCGTTAAGAAGCTGGGTTTATTTGGCCGAGTGTGAATAGGTGTGAGTCACAATAAACCCTTATGGGTTGCGGTGAAGGGTCGAATAGACCCACTCACTTTAGACCTACCTAGACCTTCCCACCTAGTTTTGGCGCCGATTGATTACTGTAGATGAAACATAGATACACTATTACACGCCAAAAATTCAGTCCAAACAATGGACTGCAAAGAGGAAACCGGCTCCAAAAAGCAAAAATTATTTTTTCGACTGAAACAGTGATGGCGACTTTGTCTTGATGTAGTCAATGAGTTATTTCAATCGATTATTTTCAGGAGCATACCACGCATCATTACTTGACAAGAAAAAGGCGAAACTTTGTATAACTGAAGATTTTACCAAAAATGGTAAAAGATCACAACAATCGACTGATTCCAGGTATGATGAATATAAAGAAGTGCAGATCTCTAACAAAAATGAAAGAAGATAAAAAAGGAATGATGTGAGGAAACACTGGATTGAAAAAAAAAATCACACCAGTCAGAACTGAATTTTTTGAAACAAGAGATAGATGATGAAGATGGATGTAAACTGAACAATAATTTATAAATTCGAAGGTGTCAATAAACAAACTAATATAAGTGATGAAGAAATTACCAAAAAAATTTTGAAAATATCGTGTTGGGAGTTAAAAAAGGGGTAATGAAACAAATCGTTTAATGAGGAAAAAACAATGAGTAACCAATAAACACCCTGAAAACTTCAATGGCAAATGAAGATCGAATAAAATTATTGTACAGACGAACTTAAAAATTTATGTATGCATGTATGTGTATTTTTTTTGTAAAATGTCATAAGAATCACATAAACTTTTTCAAAAGAGGATCGTATAACAGTAGTTTTTTTAAGTTAAAAAAACTTGAAAATACTTTGTTCAGAAACGTTACTGATTTTGAGAAAGTTAGGTATCAAAATCTCTTTTTTTCCATTATTCAGTTCATTCATAGGCATTCATAGCAATTCTGAAGTTCAAATTGAAATCAAAAATCAATCAAATAGAATGAAAGAATTTCGATATTCTTATAATTCTTATAATTCTTCATCCTTAACCATAATTTCTTTGAAATTATGGTTAAGGATGAAGAATTAAGAATGCACCATCAACAAAAAATTAGACAGTCAGAGTACTTGGACGAGATGAACTCTACCGATCTTCTTTCATCACAGAAAGTAATTTAGAAAATTCCCACTGAAACAGAAAATGGTAGGAGAGAAAAGTTTTCTTTGAAGGTGATTGACAATGTTTCATGATGAATTTCACTAGTTCGGCTTCCATTGTCTGCTATATAAAATGATTTGAAATCCCTGAAACATCTAAAAAAGAAGAATTAAAAATGAATAGCTGAAAATAAGAATCACCCGAAGACTATTGTAGATACTAACAATCGAAACGTCGTGAACTAACGTGACTTGGAATCGCTTCACTTTTTATTTTTATTCTCTTTCTATTTTTACTTGTATTTTATTTCATTATTATTTCATTTCAGGTTTATTTTGGTAATTCTTATTTTCAGCTATTCATTTTTAATTCTTCTTTTTTAGTTGTTTCAGGGATTTCAAATAATTTTATATAGTAGACAATGGAAGTCCGAACTAGGGAAATTCAAGAAAAGTTTTCGTTTATGATATACATTTTAGCAAAACTGAGAAATTCCCTTTTCCAGTGGATCTACAAATGTTTAGAGAAGAATTTCTGTCATAGTGATCTCATAGTTATTTTCATCTGTGAAAATTTTTTGTTTTTATAATCAAGTGGTCTATAGAAAGAATTTTCAAACAGGATATTATTCAATCTCATACATATTGAACTCACCAATCAATCGATCCCAGCATCCAATAAACAAGTGGAAAGTATGATACAGCATCCAGAAAAGCAACGTCCGGTCTCCTTTCCAATAGCAGAATTATTGGGTTCAATGACGTTTTTGACCTGAAATGCGCCCTCAAAGGAATAATAAAATTATATATTCCATTGGAGGCGTAGTCTGCCGCTAAAATGATTGTTTTGTTTTGCCACTGGTAGTCTCTCGCATTTCTGTAGCTGCAGTGTTCGCAGACCTGTGCGAGTTGAAGGCAACAGAGGGGTTTCTTTTCTTTGAGTAGGTAGCACAATGTTGGACTAACTCCGATGTAGGTCGATACTGGTGGAAAACCCTTCACAATGCTGGGGACATAAATTAATTTGATAAAAAATAAGGAAAAAATTTGGGGTTGCAATTGAAATGATAAGGTCTGAGTGAAAAATAATACGTTATTTGGTTGTTTTCAGAGAAGTTTTTGCACTGGCAAAACTATGTGTTTGTGTGAATGAATTTTAACTGACTTTCCACTTCGAATTTCATCTCACTATCAAAAATGTATCCAAAAACTTTCATTTCAGTGTTCTCTGAGGACATTTCACAAATTTGAAATCAAGGGTACTGTTTCATGAAATTCTGGTTGCAAATACTGAGGAACGATTTTGAAAGGTTATGAAAAATACATAATTGAGAATTTACTATGTAACATTTCTGAATCCTGAAAATGATTCATTGGTGTATCAGTAGTAAACCTTTTATAATTGAATATTTTTTGAATTTCAATAACGGACAGAAATAGTTATGAAAAAATAGGGACTGAGAAAAACTTCATATGGTGATCAGGATTACATCATTCACTATTTCACATCACCCACTATCTCGTTGGATTTTTTTTAATTTAGAATAGCTCAAAAAGTGTCACCACTGCATTTGATAGGTCAAAATTGTACAAATAATATCCAAAGTGTTGTATGCTTCGCAAAAAGTCAATTAAATTCTGTGGTCTCAATATTTCACATCTGGTGAAAATATGCAAGGGGGGAGTCCAACAATATCATTCAGAAGTTTCCACGTATTATATTAAGCAACTATATACTTTTTTCCCAAAATATATAATAGTTTCAACATCAGTACAGTACAGTACTTAGTTAGAGGTAAATGTATTGATTGAAAAGTCATATATTTGTAATAATTTCATTGTATAAGTGATCTTGGGGAATATCGAAAAGTATGAGCGCTTTTCCCAAAAACTAATCTCTTCTGAAAATATGTACAATATTGTGTAGGAANATCCCGAAATATAAAAATGAATTTGATTTTTCAGTATGAAGTGAATGTCTACGATCCAAAAAGTACAACAAAAATACAGGTCCGTATTTAAAAATTCGAAGATGGTGATGACCCAAGTCAGATGACACCCTGTATAAAAGATTCATGGATATATTCTGAGAGTCCACATCAAGTACCAATAGTAAAATGTAGACAGATTTCCAATATGTCTGCGAATGAAGAAGATATAGGCAAAAAAATAGTTTGGGATTTTTTGGTTTTTCCTATAATATATCTCCAGAACCAAAAGAGCTATATTCGATTTCTTCAAATTATTTGATGGGTCTATGAAATACGCAACTTTGCCATGATTTAACACTCTACCTCTTATCGTTCACGAGATCCCCATGTACAGAAACGAATTTGAATAGCCCTGTGTAAACAAAATGTTGTGAATTAATTTGGCAAATTCCTGAACATTTTTTTCTCAATAATGAGAATATTTGGTATGCATATTTGGAAATTCAAAGTGATTTCTAATCAATTTGGTACCCTATGAGATGATTCAGGAGAATTTGTTCTTCTTGGTTTTACCGAAACGAAGCATATTTGGTTAACCTGCAGAAAGTTTTCATTCATTCAATCTTTCTTACACACATACAAAACATACATACGACCGATCATGGACTATAAATCCATGATCAACAGCACAATGCCAACGCGCCTAACAAACCGCCTACAAGCCATCGAAAGGAGAATACTCCGAAACATTCACAACCTTCCTTACTGATTCCCTTCCAACGCACTATACAAAACAATAAAACTAACCCCAATGAATATTAGATTTCAGGAACTCCGAGGAAAATATACCAGCATAACCATAAGAAGCAACAACACCACAGCGAAAGAAACACTGGCCACACCCTGGAGGCCCCGCGGGGGCACGTGGTGGATCCCAAGGAAAAAACTCCCATTTTCTCCAGCCAGCCTACTGGGAGCCATGGAGGATATACGGCAGAGGTTCCAAGACATCTCGGACGAGTTCCCGCTAGCAATCAGATGAAGATCAGGCCGCAGCCGAGGAAGACCCGAAACAAACAACCATACCAAGAACACCAGAACTAGAGACAACAAACGACAACCCACCAAGAAAACCAACACACGTATATTACGTGTGTTGTCCTGTATTTTCTTGGTGCATGTTTAGTTTTAGAGGATGTACAAACTTTTATCAAAAAAAATATTTTGTCGAAAAACCTTCAATAAATAAGTTTCCCATATGTTGCATACTTTGGAGATGACACTGTAGAAGTAGTTGTTTCCGAAAGTATTATTCCTTTCGTGTAATTGAATATTTATATGAAAGTAGTTATTTCGAAAGAACTTTCTCTTTCAGATCGTGCCTGAATGATACTTTTTGTACGATTCACACATCTTTGTAAGGAGTTAATTCTGGAATTATTTGCATTATCTCTTTCTCTGGACGATTCCCACATTAATTTGTATACTGAAGAAGTGGGGAGCCAAAGCTTTTCCCAAAAATTGAAAAGTAATTGAATTCTTTTCTTGATCATAATTCGCAATTTCATGAAGTTGCCATTCAACACTGAAACTGAATCAACTTCAATCAATTGTCTCAGTCTGGTATTCCAGTTTTATGGCAGGATACCATAAACAATATTAATGCAGTTGACGAAATATACAGGATGTTCCCTAATTACGGTACGAAACTTCAGAAGGTGATTTGTTAGATAGTGCTAAAAAAAAATTACTGTCACTGCGTTTCTGAAATGAAGGGCATTGAATTTTCAAGAAAAGGGTATTTATAAAATATCATAGACATCCTTGAAGTATTAGAGCACTTATTCAGCCCTAATAAGATTGAAATTATTAGGTCCAGTGGAGTCTCAGTGGGCACCACAGCTAAAAGAAAACTACACAATTTAGTTTATGGAACACGGTACACAATCATTCTCAATGGCAAATATCGATGTTTCGGAATAAAACACTTGTGTAATTGACTCCTCAGTACCAATTTAGATAACATTACAAGATAAAGCATTCAATTTATTTTTTATATGACGACTTCATGTCACGAATGAGTGGGATCTACTCATGTCACCGATGACAGGAATGTAGTGACATCCATTCGATTATGTGATTCAATCCCTGACATGACAATATCCATACATTGAAAATCCGAATCAGTTTAACAATGAAATGAAAAAACTTGATGAACTTTGCAAAAACAAAGACAAATTTCTGGAGGTGTATTCAATTCTTTTTTTGGTAACAGGCCAATGCGGGTATTTTCTGAGCAAGGTATGACATTTAAGTCTCATATTCATCAAAGTTATGAGATTGGAATCATGTTTTATTCATAGAGCAAACGATTCAAACAATTAAAAGAATTGGAAAAAAGTCGAAGTGACAGTATAGAGTCCAAATTCCTAGCAAGGGTATAGAATTGGAAACTGAGCAACATTTTTCTTTGGCATTTGTCGGAATTTCCACACAAACTAATTGCGAAGTCAAATTTTCTATCAATAAAAAAAAAATACATATGTCACGAAATTTATGTGTGACATTGTATTTATACATATTGAGGGACCACCATCTACAGATGAAATAATATTCATTTCTACAAGTATACAAGTATTTCGATCGAGATGGCAACACTGAAATGAAATCACAGTTAGAAGTTCATAGAATACAACAATTTGAAACCGTTTCCACACATTTTGAAACCGTTTTCATATAGTGAATTCAGTACTTCGATACCTTCAATTGGAGTTAGAAACAAGTTTATTACCCCATTATTCTCGACTCAATTATGAAATAACATAATATGGCATGACTGAATCACATATTTTGAATCATTGCATAAAGTACAATTCTCATAGTACAATTCAGAATACACTAATACAACTAAACACTGAATATGTACATAGTCTAAGACGCTCTCCCTGTATTCATGCAAGTAAAACAATCAACGAACAGTTTTTTATTTACTGGTTTTTCACAAAGAGGGAACAGAGAAATATTATATAAAAGGAAAAAATATAATAGTTTCATCAGTGGCATAATTTTAGGATCCATAAAAAGTCAAAGAAGGAAAATATAGATCGATTCTATGGAAAATATTTGTTTTGCAAAAATTCGGATTGAATGCTTCGAAAATATACTTTTCTTTCCATATTCGAAAACCATTCGAAAACTATATCCCAGTCAACATTTGAAAAAATCAAATTACATTATTCTCTATACAAAGATCGTGTACAGAAGTTTCTTTCTGATAGAAACTGAATATTATAGTTCCACAATGGTTTGTCAGAGAATCGCTTCTTTGAAATTCATTTATCAGATCGGCAATACCAAAGTTTGCAAGGTTCAGGTTATGCCCCAACACTGAATTTTTTTTTGTATTTGTGACGTGGCAATGTAGCCAGGTCGTTTTCCTGTTTATCAGTAGAGATGGTGTCAGAAAAACATCAGATCGATACGGAATATAGAAAACATTTTTTATGAAAACATACACGATGATTTTCACGATTTACAGTCATTTTTGATGAATATTATAGAAAATAACCTCGAATTCTACTGCAAAAACAGTAGACCTGTCAACACTGAGTATGGCGCACCTCTCATGCAATTTTTTTATCTGCAGTGGATTAATTCGCATTTTTCTGCAGTCATATTATATTACGGCTCCATTGTAGAAGATTCGATCTTTCAGCTCGCGGTAAATAACAAAAGAGTAGTTTAATCGTCTGTAATATAAATATGAAAGAGTGAATTCGTAGAATGTAGTTCCATACATGATATAAATCAGCAAACTCAGTCATTCATATTGTGAATAACACTCATGAATATTGTTGACTTTGCTTCTATTATGATATAACAATTGTTCGTGTATGTACTATCACAAATAACATAACCTCAATTGTGTTTGCTCGCCCCATGGCATCTGTTATAACCTCACAAACCAAATTTCGTTGATTCAGTTCCGTCTTCATTTCTTATCCTTCATTTTGAAATTTTTCTATAGTTATTCTGCTAGTGCAGGTGGAGATAAATCGAATAAATCAAAAATCAT